GAGCGTTCCCGGGTCTGGGCACTGCCTTCGGCGCTCCCCCCACTACCCCCCGCTCGGCGAGTCCTGCGCGACGAAGTTGCGCATACACAATTTTGGGCAATTTTCAGTACTTCCAAGTATTCTTGGCCAGATTTTCTGATTTCCAACCGTTAATAGCCAAGAGAAAATCAAATTGTACTACTTATTTAGAGATGTTTTAATGAAATTAAAAACAAATTGCGGAGCGAAATGGAGTAAATTGAGAGCAATTAATTCATTAAGAAAATCATTGAAAATCTGCATGGTTATTTGGAATAGCAATACCTGAATATTTTTCTGTTTTAATGAATATTTTTTATCCATTGTATCACAGCAGCGGAGTAATTAGGAAAACATTGCATTTTCCTTGGGAGCATTTTTGTTGGTTCCGGAAATTTCCGTTAGAGACGTGAAACGAGAATTTTATGTACATACATCCCAAGATACGTTATCCGAAAGGTGTGATATTCACTTTCCAAAACCAATAGAATCGCTACTTATCGACGAAATTTTCCAAGAACCAAATTAATGAGTGTTCGTAAAGGGAGAGAGGAAAGGGAAAACAGTGGATTCAGTTTCAGAAAAATGACTGAAAAAGGTAGATGAAGGAAACATTGGCTTTTCGGTTTCACAACATATCGCATTTAGCGATGTTGATCGGTAGTAGGGAAACATGATAATGAACAATTAAGCATGAGCAAAGATCTCTACGCAGCTAAGATTTAACTTAGGACTTTAAAATGAAGACTAAAGGTCCGGGTAAGTGAAAAATGAAATAAATGAAGACTGGTAATTGAGAAATTATGGACTGAGAGATGTTAGTGTTACGAATATATCGGGGGTCATGATATTGTACGATCCTCCTCTAATTCCAGTGGTTTCCGATATTGCAGCATTCCAAAATCCTTGAGTAGTCCAAACGCTGGTGTCTAGATATAAGAATAAAAGTTTGAGTTAGTATCAAATAACAAAAAGTGTTTTATAGGCAAGATTCGTTTCTTTATTACAATAGGTTGATCTTGTACAAATTAATTATAGCCTTACAATTACAACAAGTCAAGTTCCTCATTCTCTGAAAGAATTCATGATATCGATATGTATTCTATTATCAGGGCTATTCCGAAACATGTTACAGTGGCGAATTGAAAAATTGTACCCAATTTCTTTTACAATACTCTTTTCACAGTGTCGAATATGTGGGTTATGTGTCTGACGCGTATATGCATTATGATAGTGTAATTTCATACGGTACAATGATAACGAATCGATACGCACGCAGCGATGTCTACCGAAATTCCATGGTAAACATATTCTTTAATTGTTCCGTTATTGCGATTGAAAAAAAAAGACATTCACGATTGACACATAGGTAGGCCTAAAGTTAGGGGGGTTGTTAAAAAAATATTTTTAAAATAACGTCACGCACAAAAAATATCTTCAGCAAAATGCCTTTTGCTATCTTGGCCTTTTGTCGGGCCATGCTTCTCCAACTTCGCATGGCATTTTACTACATGGAACATCCTCACGTCAATTCCAATCGCCTCGGCTACAAGTAGAGAATAATACAATAAACGATTGCGAATCGCCTGAGGCATGGCGGCTGCCTTCAACAAACCCAAAGCATCAAATCATTGCTAGCTCGACGAAGACCATACAAATAAAAGACATCGAAGTTGACTCCCAATTTTTGAGTTTGCAATTACGAAAGCGAATCCGTTGCGCGCGACTTTTCAATAGTTTACGCCGTCATAAATTAACATTAAATAAAAACGTTAAAAACAATATTAACCCTCTCAGCGTGCACCGTGCTTCGACACCGACTTAAAGTTTCATTGCCAACTTTGATGCTCGTACCTGATACAATTCATTAAATTAAACTGTACAATGGTCTTACTTCATTCTAATATAGAATAAATTATCTAGATTCAATTGTATCCGCGATTAAAATAGTCGCGCTCTGAAATTTCAGGTAGGGAGGCACGGACGAATCTTTTTTTTTTTCGTTCTCCTTTCCTATCCTTCCTCGCCATTTAAAATAATATTACATCAGGGACGACAGTTTGATTGATTTTATATCCTCGTGATAAAACGTAAAATAATCGCACCCTGTATAATCGCATCGTCTCTTATCACCTAACGGCGTTTCTGCTGACATATCGCAAAAAACAATTGCGGTTACGTCGGCTGGGTTGTCCTTATCAAAACAGGAACATAAGTGGTACTCAACAATTTTTTCTTTCTCTCCTATTTTCTTTTACGAAATTTCTACGTATACAAAAAAGAAAATGCGCTATATTACCTCATCCAGTTAAGCTGCCGCTACGCACTTATTCGACGGAAATTAATTAACGTGGGAATGAAGAGCATTAATTAAGAGACGACTTATATGTATTAATTACAACGAAAGAAAAGCGTTAGAATCCCGTCCACGCAAATTCGCAAAACTTACTAGTCCGCCCAACGGAGAAATGCATTGCTTTACATATATGGCATTAGGTTATTGGCAGTTTCAATCGATCCAACTAATTGTCATTTTCCTTTGTTCTATCGCCGTTCAATAACACGCTCTCAGAAAGAGCCTAGCGACGTGGATTCGTCGTCTTTAAGTATAACAAGCAAATAATGACTGGAATATTATTGGTTTTCAAAATGATTCAGATAATTAGAATTTATACAATTAGCACAAAGATACTCGCATTAATCACCGGCAGTCTTATTGATAAACAATCAATATAAAATTTACTGTCAAATTTGTATCAATCAGCACAGTGTTCGGTTACGCCGTACAAAGCTGATCGATTGATGATCGACGGAAGAACGAAGTTGAAAATGATTGACAAGATGAATGGATTAATGATAATAATGACGGAGTCATTGATAACGATAGTTACAATGTTGAGGAACAATGTCAGCTCTACACAGTTTCTCTAACAGATTGTTTTTCCCATAAAAAATGACAGATAATTAACATTGCGATTATTATGATACAAGAAGTCATAGTACTTCGTCGTCATCGTATAAACATTATTATCATCACAGTAAAAATATTTTATATTCATCTTTAACTATTTAACTTGTGCTTAATAAGGGACGTTAGAGCTCTCTCGACGTGCTCCGTTGGCCGTCCACGTTTTTTCCTCTTTTTCTTGTTTTTCATTCTTTTTTTTTAAATCATAATCATCCTCGTCTTTTCGCGATTTACCCAGGAATGGCTCGTCTATTGCCGCTAGCTTTAATTTTACTTTTCATTTACTTAAGCTAAGCTACACGTCGTGTCTCTCTTTCTCTCTTCATATCTGTTATGTATCAATCGTCATTAAGTAGTTGATCGGTTCAGTTTACACGTAGCCAAAATAATCATTGGTTAGTGATTAGTAAAAATACATAAACATACCTATGTGTATACTCTTACGATGGAAATACAGTTGTAGGATAACACTTACGCTTAAACAATATATTATTAAATAATAGTCATTGGTCTATCGACGTGATCATGATTCCATTCGGCTCGAATCATCCTACTGTTCTTTGCATCTCTTTCTCTTCCTTCATTCCCTTAAGCCCATCAAGAAAACAAAGTCGTTATCTTCTGTTCTACTTTTTTTCTCATCTCTCTATTCATATTCCATTTTTAAAACCATAGCTGAGAATCCTTTTGCGCTAAATTCTTTTTAAATACATTGCGGAATTCCTTTAAAACTGCATTGTAATAGAAAATTAATAATATTTGTAATAAAAGTAACGAGAGTATATGCATGGTCCACGATGCGCAATGGCGATTTGGTTCAGAATAAAAGCGAAGCCACAAACCAAGCTCGCCCTTAGACAATATAACATAATGGAAGTAATAGCGATTTGGACAGGACGAAAAAGTGCGAACTAAATAGGAATGACAGTGCTCTCCGTATAACTGACGTACGCAACAAAACCTGAAAATGAAACAGCAGAACCCTCACTGGTATCTGGTTGATTAAGTACGTCGGTAGCTAAGAAGATCCCTCCCGTACGTCGCTTTACTTAAATTTCATTGCATTCGTTCCATTAGTTACTTGGATATTCCGGTAGAGAAAAATCGCGACGCGGTATTACCGTGAAAATATCTGTACACCGTTGACGAGTCGTTTACATGAAGTTGTAGCTTTACAAATTATCCTAGTAATCGTATTATCGTTAATGTCAGTCCCTTAAACGTTAGCTGCCTGTGCAGATTGCCTTTGCCTAGCTATTATTCGCGGGAATATTCAATAATATATATCTATGTACAAAATTGCATACTTCTTATCAACATTCACTCGTCCGGGGAGCACAAACACGATCACATTTAGTAAGTTCACATTATTGGCGTTTTCGACCGTTTGTCACACTGAGGTCTGCGTGATGCCGTTTCCGGATAGCCATATCCGTCCATTGTTGCTCTTCTGGTCGTTGATCTCGTATTCGGAGTCGTCGATCTCGCAGAGATTGGTCGAGAGATCGCTGTTGCTGGTACCGCCGCCCAACAGAGAATTTCGCTCCTCGAGGGTGGTGATAACAGAGCCGATCTCGTCGACGTCATCGCCCTTGTGGCATCGGTTGCGCCTACTACTTGGAAAACCATAAGGCACTACGTCATCTTCTTCGTCGGATTCCAGGGTACTCAGGTGCCCGTTAAGCGGATTTGTCTCGTTCTCCGTATCCGTGTGGATATTGTAATGCGGCAGATAAGAATTTGGATGCCGTAGATAACTATCCGAGTCCTTGTACTTGTACTCGCCCTCGCCGCCGCTATCCAATGGATTGAGCCGTTGCGTTTCCGCACAGTGATGATAGTGCTCCGAGAATTCCGTTCCGCACTCCGAGTCGCCCACGTATTCGGATTCTTGGTCCTCGTTTAGGGTCTCTATATCTCGGGTTGGGTCTATTGGACCGTGCACTGTGAAATAAGATTTTACACTCAAAGCAATCTGATCATAGCTATTCAGTCAATGAGAATGATCACTGATTAATATTAATTACCAAAATTAATTATACCCTGAGTATTATTAAGTATTGTCTAAATAATAATAAAGATATATATATCTTGAGCAAACTTAGTTTTTAGACATTCCATCAGAGAATACAATCCTATGATTGTATATAACGTATGTAAATACAATTTGCCAGTATTTATCCAAAAGAAATTTATATTTAAAATCACAGCTGCCTCAAAAGCAACAGGGCAACATCAACAAGTGCTCCAGAATACAAAACTCGAAATGCAAAAAGATTAACTTACTTGATGGTAACTGATGAGTGTTGGACTCGTTGCTCTCATTGCTGTGGAAGCTGGATGAGTCGGGAACTTCGCTGCCAGGAACCTCCGTGATGTTAGGTAAGGGGTTCTGACTTGGCCTGACCCAGTCTGAACAGTCCCAGTGATACCCTAAAAGAATTGCAGACAACAACTGTACTCAGACACACTACATGCACAATTGATTATAGGAAGCAGCAAATGGATGGCAGAGGAAAAAGAAATTATAATTAGGAAATAGAAATAAAAATAACAGCAGGATAAAAATAGATAAGAGGAAGAAAAAGAGAGCCAAAGCGACCCGAGGTCATCCATGTGTAAAATTCAATCAGTGCTTTAGTTTCATGCCACTTATTTATCTGCTATTAATTTATTCATTCGACTTACCGCCAACGATGCGAGGATCATCCTCGATGGATGACAAAGAAGCAATGGAGGTACCACCAGCATGAGGTCCCCGTCGTGTACTTAATAGTAGTCCTCCAGTGGTCAGCTCCGGTACCACTGGACTCGCTCGTTTCAGGTCTGTTAGTAAAACACGCAATCACACCGTTTGTTAATTAGGCACACTGCAGTTGCAATGATATGTAAACAGGATAATACAGTTGGTGAAAGGAGGTAGAGAGAGAGGACCATTGCGGGTCGTTTTTGCTGACGTAAGATCCACCTTATCGGTTTTCATTTGTGTATATCGTCGCAAAATTTGGCGCCCAACGTGGGGCTCGAGGTGAGATAGGAAATATCTGGACCCCTTACGTCGCAAAATTTGGCGCCCGACGTGGGGCTCGAGGTGAGATCGGAAATATCTGGACCCCTTACGTCGCAGTACATACCGTAAACATACATATGGATTTTACAGTATGTAGGTGAGGGATGGAATAAAAATTAGGTACGGTAAAAGACACAAGCAATTTATAGAAACAATACGGATTCGTCATGCGGCAAGCAAATGAAAGTAAAGAAAAGAAGCGGCTAGCAGTGCACTTACCATTTTTTATTTTTGTGCTATCTGTGATGAAGGACGCCAGCTGCATCTGCTCCTGCCACGTGGGCTTGTGAAGACTATCCGTGTCGCTTCCGGTAGCATTTCCACCGACTGGATTAGCAAGTGTTAGGGCGGGAGGTGGTACAGGGGTACTTCGATTAAGATTGCGCAGATAATCTGGCGGGAAGTTCTCCAACTCGTCGCCAGCGCTTCCGTAGCTGCGCAGTGTGTCGAGGTTATTCAGTGCCACGGCCGCAGAATTACTGTACGAGGCTGACTCGTTGTTAGAACTTGGGGTGTAGGATGCGGGACGGGGAGGACATTGGGGAGGTTCTCTCTGAAAAAAAAGATCACACGAAAACCTTAAAACTCAAAAAACACACCTTGCCAATTAAGGAAAAATATTTACTGTATAGAAAACGATCATCAGCCAGTTGCAAAAAAAAGGGACAATGCGGCAAATCTAGGAATCACTCAAAGGATCTACTAGGTATTGTAGATCCTTCTTATAAAGATAGAGGAAACGTGCTTTTTTAAAAAAAAAAAGGGAAGACATTAATATAGAGAAAGACAAAGTAACACGAAAAATATACTATTAAAGTAATAAATTGAAGATATTACTTTGAGTTACTTTATGCGTACTGTACAATTACCTGTATTACTTCCAAGTTGCTTAGTTTCGAACTACGCTTGAACTCGTGTTCATGTGGTCTTGCTGAGTTCAGAACAATCTGCTTCCTGGTCTCGTTGTTGATGTTGTTGGCACGCGCCCTGATCCTCTTCATGCGTATGCATCGGTATGCCACGAAGATGATGATGATGAGGAATAGGTTGACAATGGCTGCTATGCCAATCCACATCAGTTGTTCCGAAGTGATGCTGAAGCGGTTTGATATTATTGGAGTGGAGAATGCAGGATTTCCACAATTCGACCCAGTCATGTTAGGTGGACATTTGCACCTGTAGGTTCCTATTTCATTGATGCATGTGCCGCCATTGGTGCAAGGATTAGCGTCACACTCGTTGACGTCAGTCTCGCACCACTCCCCTGTGAAACCCTGACACTTGCATATTGGTCCGTTGTTACCCTCTTCGCAGACTCCACCGTGTATGCAAGGATTTGGAGTGCAATAACGTCCAAGCTCACAACGTTTCCCACTGAGACTAGGACCGACACAGTCGCAGGTGTAATCACCACCTCCTGGAACGATCTTGCACCTGCCGCCATATAGACAGGGTGATGACGCACAAGGATCAGTGTCTAGCTCACATGCTAGACCCGTGAATCTCTCATGACATTGGCATTCATAACTGTCACCGCCTGAATCCTTGCAGGTACCACCATTCTGACATGGTTGGGAACCACATATACCAGGTGGCACAAGGATGGTGGCTGTATCGCAACTGAATTCGACGTTTGTGAAACGCTTGAGGACTGCAACGCTACTAGCGCCACTCATGTGCAGTGGTACTGATACCCTGGCAACTCTGACGTCGTCCATGCATCCAATGAAACCACGTTGAATATCTTCAAATCCCAGGACAGATGGATGCTGCTTGACTTCTGCGCCCAGGTAAAAATCGTCAGCTTGCAGGCTTAGGATGTCGTTCACACCTGGTGCTGAACCATGGGCTACGTGTTTTCCGTCAACTGTTAGTCGCGCGCTATTACTTTCGCGTTCAAGTTGAATTTCATGCCATTGACCGTCACTGACGTAGACGCTGCTGACTCTGACAAGACCTTCACCACTTCCAAGATCGAATCTGTACTGCACTACACCGTTTACTATCTCCAGGACGTTGTAGTCGATCTTTCCAGCGGCGTACATGAGACTCCCCGTGGGCTGCATGCTCCTGATCCTCAGGGACAGACTCAGACGATCTTCGATAGTTTGTCTGAGGAGGGCTTTGTCAATCCTGTACCGGGCGTAGCTCTTGCCGCTGAAGGATATCGGGTTTCTGGGGATGTAACAGGACTTGTCGTGACACTTGGATATGTCTATGTCACAAGTCTGACCGGCGAATCCTTCAGGACATTGACAGGAGTATCCTTGAACCGATGAATCAGGAACGCAGACCTTGAACAAAGGACAGGGGTCTCTGGCACATTCGTTCACCACAATCTCGCAGTGGTTTCCGGCATAGCCTTCCTTGCAGCTACAATCTATCTTGTGTTTATGACGTGGGGATACGTAGCTCATTACGTCAGTAGCTATTGGCGTTATCTGATTAGGATCCAAGATGATCTTGTCGTGACAATCACCGTAAACGCAGTATCCTTTGTTACACTTGAACCTGACGATCTCTTCGACAACGAGATCCGTCGATTTTTCCAGTTCCTCCAAGTGCTGATTCACCGCCTCCCGGATACTTTCGGATGAATGAAAACCCAAAGGAGATATCACAGTCTGTGGCTTCCTGACGGCGAAGAGGACGTCCAGGTCGTTGTGAACAGCTTGCCTAATGCCACGGGATTTGATGATATTAGCTTCATCCGATGACGCTTGTACGCTGATCAGGACAACGTCTTTGAGACGGCAACCCATAGCGTTTCGTACAGTTCTCAGGAAGCCCTTGCGGTGACTCAGGATGAAGTCTTCAGGACTGACTTCACGGAATCTCACTATCACAGAGTTCTCCAGCATCTTATCAGAAACTAGATCCACGTTCACTGTCACTATTGAAAATGAATTGAACTTGCCATCTGTCACACTGATGTTCACCCTGTACTCTCCTACGTCGAGTCTTGGCAGTGCTACCAAGGTACCGTCTAGCTTGTCAATTTGGAACAGGTCGGTGTTTGGATATGGTGATGAAGGTACGAGACTAAAGTGAAGTGTATCATATTGATCCTGATCAGTAGCGTGTACCCTGCCAATGATACCTCCAGGATATTCATCCAAGTAGGAGTTTACGATAACCTCCAATGGCGTGATGACAGGAGGGTATTGGGATTCTTCGATGACCTTGATGACGACCCAGGCATCAGAATACAGTGGAGGACTTCCGTTGTCGAAGACTCTGACGTGAAGAACATACTTGTCCCTTACTCTGTTGTTGAATTTTGTTGCTGTGCGCAGGCTGCCATCTTGTTCCAAACGGAAAGCGTCCCCTTCGTTTCCTGAACGGAAGTCAAAGGTATATGGATCGGCGTTTGGCACTGTATCCGCGTCGGTGACAATAAATTGCAGAACAACGTGACCGAGCGGTTTGTCTTCTTGTACTACGGCTGTGTAGTTCGGTTGTGAGAACAATGGCGGATTGTCATTAGCGTCAAGAACCTCGATGTTGACCATTACAAAGTTTGAGAGCATCGGTATTCCGCTGTCGCGGGCGTGAACCTCCAGCACGTAGTTGGATATCTGTATGAACAGAGTTTCATTGCATATATGAGGAAATAAATATTAAGCACAATCTAGTATTTAATTTACTAAAAGTATGAAACTCTAAAATACCGTTTCTCGATCCAGAGATGCGAGGACAGTTATCACACCAGTCTTCTCGTCGATTAAAAATTGCTTCTGTCTGTCACCTCGTTCAATGTAATACGAGACATTCCCATTTTCCGCGCTATCCAAATCATTTGCAAATACCTGAAACAATCAATAAATATGTCCATTGGTTCAAAGAGAAATTGACTTTCGTGATAATTGAAGAGACAAAAAAATGTATACCTGTGTAACTTTCTCTCCAACTTTGGCATCCTCTCGTATTGAGGTTCTGTAAGAGACTTCACTGAAAATAGGTGCATTGTCGTTACTGTCAGTGACAGTAATATTGACAGTAGCATGATTGCTCAAAGGTGGTATACCACCGTCAATGGCTTGAATAGTCAAGAAGTAGTCACGAGCTCGTTCGTAGTCCAACTGTTCAGAGATGGTAATTGCCCCAGTTTGGGTATCAATTTGAAACTTTTTATGTTCATTTCCACCAACAATGGAGTAGTAGACGTCAGCATTGACACCAGTATCCTTAGAAGTGGCTAGGACTCTTGCGACTTCCGTTCCAACAGCATCGATTTCCGGCACGCTTGCGAAGTAGAACTTAGAAGCGAACTCTGGTGGGTTATCATTTATATCTTGAACGTTCACTATGAGGGAGGCGACACTGAACAATTGTGGAGTACCCTGATCCAGGGCTTGAATAGTAACGTTGTACATGGCCTTCGTTTCACGGTCCAGTGGCTTAGCCAGAGTGACGATTCCACTGTCAGGTGCAATCAGGAAGTGACCGTCAGCAGAATCAATAAACTCGTACTTGACCTTCCGGTTGATACCAATGTCATTGTCCGTAGCGTGCACTTTGGTAACCAGAGTTCCCACTTCCACATCCTCTGGCAGTGTTGTACTGTAAGATTGCATCGTGAACTTCGGTGCATTATCATTCAGATCAGATACTAGAATTTCCAACTGCGATGAACATTCCCAGCTGGGCTTATCTCTGTCTTGAACATGAGCAGTCAGTGAGTACTTGGCTTGAGTCTCTCTGTCCAGTTGACCAACTGTTTTGAGTATTCCTGTCTCTTTGTCAAGAGAGAATTTATCATTGTTATCACCGGTCAAATAAAAACGAAGTTTGGCATTGGGTTCGTCGTCATAGTCAGTTGCTAGAACAGTTAGGACGTACGTTCCAGGATGCGAACCTTCTGATAGTATCTCTCGGTATCGGTACCTCAGACAATATGGAGGATTGTCATTGACATCTAGCACCTTGATAGTGACCTTAGTATCAAACACGTATTTTCCATCAGTGCCTACGACTAATAAGTCATACTGATCAGTGGTCTCACGATCTAAACTCTTGGAGACGTAGACTTCACCAGTTGATCTGATCTGAAATTGTGATCTTGGATCTCCAGACGTGATATAAAACTCTACTGGAGTATTAAGATCGGTATCTTTATCAATGGTAACCAATTTGACAACCACGGTACCAGGTAATGCGTCCTCGTTAACAATTGCGTCGTACTGTTCATCAACAAATGCGGGTGGATTGTCGTTATAGTCCTTGAGCTTAACGTGAACCGACGTCCTGGCAAAATGTTTTGAGCTGCCATTATCAGTGGCGACAACTTGAAATTTATATTCACCTCGTTTCTCTTTATCCAATTGTACCAACGTTGAAATCCAACCAGTGTAAGCATCCACAGTGAATACATTAGCAAGATCACCAATGTCTGAACCAAATGAGTACCGCACTTCGCCATTGCTGCCCAAATCATTGTCATGAGCTATCACTTTTAATATTGAACTACCTTCATCGATATTCTCTGCCAAATTAATCATATATGGATTGCTCTCGAATTTCGGTGGATGATCATTCTCGTCCAGCACTTGTAATGATATTTCAGCCAGTGCCGTTAACGGGGGACTTGAGTCTGTCTCTGCTAAGACTCCAATCAGATGATTGTCTTTCAGTTCACGATCAAGAGGTTCAGCCAAGGTTATCTCACCGTGGGAATCAATGAGGAATGGCGAAGAATCTTCACTGCCGGATATTATACGATAAGTTACACTACTATTGGTGACTGTTTTCAGTCGTGTGATAGGAGTACCAATTGGCGAAGCTTCAGATATAAAGAACTTATCTTCCATCCTTTCAAAAAGTGGTGGAATGTTGTGTGGACCCATTATATAGACACTGAGAGGTACGTCGGAATGATGTGGTACAGGACTCTTATCTTCGGCACGAATGAACAGTTGAAACTGTTGATTCTCTGAAAAAGTATCAAATCATTAATCAGGTGCTCTAGTGCAAAACAATCAAGTAGGTACTTTCGGTGAATTTACTTACCCCAAAGTTGAGCACTCTTCTGAAGGAATATAGCACCGGTATCAGGATTGATACCGAACAGTTCCTTAGCCTCAGAATTGCGTGGTTCGTATATAGAATATTGAATCCTAGCAGCGTCATCTTCGTCGGCATCCTGGGCTTTGACCTTCATGAAAACAGTTTTGAGCGACATATTCCCGTAGATCGTTGCCTTGTACTCTCTCAGGAGGAAGACTGGAGCGTTATCGTTCTCATCGCCAACTTTCACTCTTATCATAACAAATCCAGATTTACCGCCACCGTCAGTAGCCATAACCGGTATTTCATAAAGCTTATGTTGCTCACGATCAAGCTTCTTCCTGGTGACGATCTCACCGGTCAATCTATTGATGTCAAAGGTCTCCCTCATCAGATCAGAAGGTATGGAATACACAACTGTTCCATAATCACCGAAATCTTCATCGACAGCAACAACACTGGTTACCAGTCTTCCTGGTAACTGATTTTCCAAAACGGTCACCTCAACCACAGGATTAGGAAATTTAGGGTTGTGCCTGTTAGCAGGAAGGATCTCAATTTTGACCCTGGCGAAACTTGTGTATACTCCATCGGTCACGGATACGTTCAGCATCGTTAGCTTTTGATCTCCAAAATTTTGCATATTGATCAACGATATGATTCCAGTTGACTGATCTATGTTGTAGGTTTGCTGATCGTTGCCACCCACTATTGTATACGTCACCTTTTCGTCGACGTAATCTGGATCACTTGCCGATACAACCGTCACGAATTGACCACGTTCTGCGTGTTCTGACAAAGAACAAGTATACGAGGGTTGTTCAAATTTCGGCGGATTGTCGTTCATGTCGATGACTGATACCCAGACGTGAGCAGTGCTTGATAAACTCGGTACACCGCGATCCATAGCTATCACAGTGAAGTGATGAGAATCGTAGGCTTCGTGATCTAGAGATCTTTTAAGGTATATTACACCCTCCTCAGGATCTATGTGAAATAGATCATTGCTGTTGTGGGTATCGTTCTGTATCGCGTATCGAATCTTTTGATTGATTCCTAAAAAAAAAAAAAAATTACAATTATAAAAATTATACAGTCAGTATCGATCCATTAGGATTTATTGATCCTAATTGTATAATGAATTTTATTGACTGATATTAAACTTACCGGTATCGTTATCTCTGGAACTGACTTTGAGAATTGATGTTCCAAATGGCGCCGCTTCTGACACGGATATGTTGTACGAATCTTGACTGAACTCTGGTGGACAGTCGTTCACGTCCAGGACCAGGATGCTGACAAGGACCTCAGCGTATACACCGGATACGCTGTCCGTAGCGCGTACCGTCAATTCGTATTGCTTCTTTTGCTCATAATCCAGCTCATCCACCACATAGATTACACCTAATTTATCGAAGAGAAGGTTGTAGGACCCGAAAGCACTATCTAACCGAGTGTCTGCGAATCCGAAGGTCCTGATTTTTATTATAAAATTACATTATTTTTTTCAAAAGTGGGTAATAATTTTTTATGCAAATTTTAAAAAAATTCTAGACCTTCAGATTCGTAGATACCTAGACACTAATGAATGCAGCCATGTAATATACCTATTTATGTACAAACAACGTCACGGATATACAATGAGCATGTATACTGTATGTACTTATGGGTGGGAGCAATTTATCAAAACGGTAAATTTAATTTTTCATACAATTATTATACGGCAGAACGCAGCATATTTATTGATAATAATCACGTGACGTTTTATTAATGAAATTTTCGTGATTGATCATTGTTCTCGACACGCTCATACTGTTGCAAAACTCTACGGGTGACGTTAAATTTGCTAAATTAATTTGTACCGTATTTTAGGCAAAGGGTAGGATGCAACATGCAATTCGTGACAAAGCCAATGCGCCAGGACGAAAAGCCGGGCGAATAATGAGATTCGATTTTGATTGTGATTTTGACGTTGAGAATTTTGCTTTGAGCAGATTTGAATTTTTTTTTATAATGCCTCGTACTGCCGTCGAAGTAGCGCAATTTTTTTGTATTCTTTCACTAAATAGACTCCTTTGATTTGCTGACTATAAAATGTGGGATTTGTGGTTCCTGTTAGTTTGTATCGGACAGAAATTCTGAGGCTGGGGAGTGAAGTGCATGACGTGAAAATGCATCTGATGCAGTTCTTTACTTGCAGTACAGAACGTGCCACCATAATGAATTGTTAATGTTACGGAAGAGAGAAGGAAAGAATGCATTTATTGCATGCAATAATTTGTACAAGCAGTGATTGGAAGTGCAATTAAATTTTGTTGATAAATAACTCAAGCGTATTTTTGTTTTGTTATCACAAAATTTAAGCTATAACGAAAGTAGATTTTCAAAATTAAAATCATGATTGTCCAAATGAATTCTAAGCCATGTCTGTGCGAAAGTGTAGGTAATATATGCATGCGTATAATATTTATAATAAATAGGTGCTGTAGTGAAAAGAAAAAAAATTTATGAAAATCAAGCGAGTGCCCATGTAATTAAAAAAATCAAGAGTGAATATTGTGTAGGATATTTTTTTTTTAAAAACAAGTAAAAATAAATAACTCGTGGAAAGAGATTTCAACTGTTCAACCGGTCTATTGTAATAAAATTCTTTCTTGCACCAGGACATTGAATTGCAGGAGTGCATAGCTAAAGTAAACAGCAAGGATGCAGTAGAGCGGAGTGCAGAACAACAGCGACACAATAGCAGGCCGATAGTACTAGTTCTTTTTTTGTTTTATACTCACAAGGACCATTGTTACTGTCGGGTGCTGCGAAACAGGTAGATACAACAAATCTTTAATTTCTAGTTATCGATCAAGCATTCTTTAGGACTTTGGGTGGGAAAGATGTGAATTCGAAGAGTATTTTCTAGGACATTTTTCTACGCAAATCCGCTACCGTATTGAAAGAAGAATATAAGGATAGTAATACTTGTACCGATTAGTTGTATTGATTTCAATTAAACCTATTGATCGTTCCGAATGCACACCCCCCACCGATACTTCAGTAACTGATTAGAGAAAAGGACCTGATAACTGTTTGTTGAAACTATTGAAATTCAAACAAACAGCTATTCAGAGTGAAATGGGTTCCATTGTACAATAGTTTATGGAGCATCAATAAATTAATAGATACTAATTACAATTTGTATTATGAACGTGACGTTCCGCTTAATTAATCTGGCTCTTTGATGTGGCATTAATACAGAAAAAGACAATTTTATTATTGATATAATTTTGAAAAATATAGAGGAAACTGTGTAAAGCGACTGACGCGGATCATTAATATATTTATACTGAAGGTTTAATGAGAGATTTCTTTCACCGAATTACTAATCAATTAGGTATTTAGATCAAGTAGAGATAAGGCAAGACTGAGTTCCACAACCGAGTTATATAGTGATCATACAAGAATACTGGATAACATACGAATTAGGAATGGTTTTTGGGAAAATTGTGTTAAAATATATAATTTACTCTACGTACAAAGTACATTTTTCTTTTATGCGCAATTAACACCTCCTGACTCGCCACCATAACACTAACGAAATTTCAGGACACGTTATCACAAAGCCGGACCGGAAGTATATATTTACATACTTGATCATTGAAAAATAAATCCAACCGGACAACATTGAGTGGATTTTCATATGGGGACAAACAAGGGCAGCTTGACAATTTTTAAGAACACAATATCAATCTTGTCCAGCGAGAATGAGGAAATATAAATTTTGTTGAAAATATTAAACGAGACATGCATCATTTAATTTCGTACAATTATCCATAAACTCACCGGTGTTGAAGTCCAGGGCGAATTCTTCAAAATCATTTCCTTTCGTGATGCTGTATATGAGTTTCCTTCCTAACGGAGATTCCGCTTGGATCGAAAGAGCCAGTGGCGAGTGAACTTCTATACTTTCCAGCACGCTGTCGGTGTAGAATTGTTTGTCGAAAACAGGCATCGATCTGTCAATGACTTTTACATTGACAGGCACTTCGATAGAACATGGTGTAATGCCTGTAAATAATAGTGTACATTAGTGAAAAGTTAATTAATGAAATTCTTTAATAATATTACACAAGATTGTACTTACCACCGTCATAAGCAGCGATGGTTAATTGATATTCACGATTGTGACCCTCGAGATTTTGTTTCAAAGATATTTCTCCAGTTTTTCTGCAGACCTTGAAAAGTTCACCATGTCCTTTCTTGAGTTCATATCGCACCTCGCCGTTATCGCCGCTGTCCATGTCGACTGCATGAACCTTAGCGAACAAAATAGTTTGGTTTATTTTTGAAAACAAGGGTTGTAAAAAGAATACAAATCTTTAGACTCTTACCTTGGTGATAACATCTCCCTTCTGAGCGTCCACAGAGACTACAGCGTAGTAAGGTAGGTTCACAAACATGGGACAGTTATCATTAATATCCAAAATGGTAATGTTCACGATAACATGAGCGACCCTGGGCTTATCCCTGTCTGGCGTATGACTCTTAGCCTCGACTATAAGTTCATAGTTATCACAGATTTCACGATCGAATCGAATGCCAGTGGTTCTAATGGCACCGGAAGTGCTACCAATTTCGAACATTTCAGTAGGATTCAATATCCTGAACACAATATGTTCATTCAGTGAACTTCCCAGAACGTTCAGTACAACCACGGTTGATATCTTAGTAGAATTTTCGAGTATGGTACCCTCGTAAACACTCTTTTGAAAAACTAATCCAGAATTTTCCGACTTCTCAACGTTCACGTTCACTTGAGTAACACTGGAGTACTTCCCATCCGAGACGCGAACATGCAGTAGATAATTTTTCTTCAATCGTTCCGGCGTCTCGACAGTGATGGTTCCGGTTTTGGAATCGATTTCAAAAGTGTGACCTTTATTGCCATCGATAATGTCATATCTCAGAGAAGTTCCCTCGGAACTGTCAGGATCATTAGCACTGACCCGTAGCACCGCAACATTCTTATACGTTGGCAGCAGCAACGTAGCGTTGTAATCGTTCTGCAGAAACTTCGGCGGACAGTCATTGACATCGGTTACAGTGATCATAACTTTGGCAGTAGTTTCCGACGACAATTTTGGTTTACCCAAATCCGAGACTTTCACATGAAATACAAATTCTGGAATAGTCTCGTGATCCAGTACCATGACAGTTCTTATGGCGCCTGTACTAGAATCAATATGGAAATACTTTCTTGGCAGATCCTCCACAATGTCGTAATGGAGTAACGCGTTCAATTCCGAATCAGCGTCTTCGGCTTTGATGACAAGAGGTGTGCTGCTATTAGTCAGTACTAGAGAACCGATGCTGGCACCTTCGCTAACCTCGCCATTGTAAACAGCCTGAAGGAATCTCGGTGGGTTATCATTTTTATCAAGAACATGAACAATGACACTGCACTGAGCAACGGCGGCTGCCATGTTAGTCGCAGCTACGGTGAGATTGTAAAACTTGGTTTTCTCATAGTCCAATTGATTCTTAGTAGTAATGACACCAGTGCTTGGATTTATAAAAAAGGTATCGTCCGTATTTCCGCTTTTAATCTCAAACTGCAAAGACGACGTGCTCCGTGCTTCAACGTGCTTAACGTAAGTTCCAGTCTGTTGATTCTCATATATCTCAGCAGCAAGTTCCTTCTGTATGAACCTCGGCGGTGCGTTGTCTGCCATTGTCACCATAACGTGAACAGGCACAGTGTTCATCAGAGCTGGTGAACCGTGATCGGAAGCCTTTATCAGTAGTATATACTCGGAAGCAGCGCTGAGGTCAAGTTCACGTGCGATCCTTATCAATCCCAAATCCGGATCTATGGTGAAGACGTTACCAACGTTACCGGAAGTGATGGAGTAGGTGATCCTGGAATTGTCACCGCGATCCCGATCGATAGCGTAAACTTGAACGACCACAGTGCCAACCGGCGAAGTCTCGAACACTTTGCCTTGGATGATCTCGCTGGTGAACTCGGGTGCATGGTCGTTGTGATCATGAACCGCGACTATGACTCTGGCGTAATTTCTCTTAGCAGGCGTTCCCTGATCACGCACCATCACAGTGAGTACATGTTCCTCAATGGATTCACGATCCAGAGCCTTGTTAAGGGAAACCACTCCGGTGACAGAGTCTATGTGAAAGATCTCGAGCGACGCCTGATTCTCCGCTGCGTGCAGACTGTAAAATACTTTCTTGTCCTCGTCCTCGTCGGTCGCATGAAGCTGGAGGATGGTCTCGCCCTTTTCGACGTTTTCCGAAATGTCCACGCGATACGTGTGCTCGGTGAACTCTGGCCTGTGGTCGTTTATGTCGATTACCGTCACAAACAGCTGAGTGTTAACCGTGCGAACACCGTCGCTCACAGCCACAGTGAGATTGTAAAAGTTCTGCGTCTCCCAGTCGACTTTTTTAGCCAGTAACACGTTTCCCTTGTCACGACCGATGAAAAACTCGTCCCGTTTATCACCATCTGCAACAAACCATTTTAGCAATGCTGATTGAACTTGCTCAGGTACATACAGATCGAGATTGGCTCACACGGTGAACTCGCTCTTGAAGAGACAGTCTGACTGGTAAAGTACAGGGAACTGTCTTTGTCTTTGGAATTCAATGACAAAATTGACAATGGACTTACCTACGATGTCGTACCAGAGAGTGTCGCCGTCCTTGTCGGTAGCTTGAACAAGAGCGACCAGAAAACCTACGTCATCGCTTTCGGTGATCTCCACGCTCTGATTGACGGTCTTGAAGACTGGTGGATTTTCGGATTCCACGGGCGCTTCTATTACTTGAACGGAAACGCGAGTTTGATGACTTCGCTGAGGCTCCCCGCCGTCCGCAGCGCGGATCTAAATAGATATATACAGGATTGAACGTCATCGGGATCAATTATATATTTTTCTCGTATCTTACCATAATCTCGTATTCTTGACTGACGTCGAATAATCGCTGGGAATAAACCATACCGGTCGATGGATGAATCTTGAACTTTCCTTTACCGCGACCACCCTTAATGCTGTATTGAATCTTTCCATTGTCCCCGACGTCGTCGTCCTTTGCCAATACCTGACGTGTCAATTAGAATTAATAATCTATCACATACGTAAAGTCTACGAGTTATCATGGTCTTGATCGAGAGTTATCGAAACAACGAAATCTAGTATCGCCTTGATTAAGTGATTTTATGATATTTTGGAATTTTGTTTTTTTTTTACCACGTCACTTTTCACCGAAATATCAAATTACAAATGGCGTGATATACTAGTGCTACGGTATATAGGAAACTTGCTAGTATATAGACGAGAGAGAAAGGGACAGAGAGACTCTAGCTAGCAAGTACAACGGGGGTCGAAAGTTCTCTCGTAATTTTTCGCCAGTGAAATTTATCATGACCACCCGATAACTTCGACGACGGCGAACGAGGGATGATTTATCGTCCGAATGAATTGCACAAATTGGAAAGATGGGAAATCGTAAAGGTCCGCGCGATTACGTAATGCAAAGTTAGAAGGGGGCTCAAGGTCGAAGAATCTTTGAATTTATACATACTCGACATACGACAGGTATATTTAACGTAACGCGGTATTAACGTTCTTGATTTTTCTTTTTTTTTTTTTTTTTTTTTTTTTTTTTTTTTTTTTTTTTTTTTTTTTTTTTTTTTTTCCTTTCTCTATCCTTACTTCTCTCGTTATCCTGGCTTTTGCCGGTTATCGAATTTGTTTTTTTTTTCGGTATTCTCTTCTCCTCTCTTGGCTTTATTATACAATACATTCTTCTTCCTCAAATCCTACGCTAAGTTCATCGCGTTTCATTTACGAGCAATCGATGGCATTTTCAATCGTGCTCATTTCAGGCATCAACATTCTCAGCCGGCATGCGAAACACTTATAATTATTTTAACGAAATCTGTCATGATTTTTCGAGGATGCAATTTTTTAAGTGTTCGTGATTTGTCAATTTTTTTTTTTTTATACTAAGCAGCTCTCGATAATATTCCATGCTTGCCGCGAATTTCAGGCTTGCTGGTTATCAGCATACCTTTTGCGAAAGTCTGCTTAGTGCGCATGTGAACTGCAGTTCAGGATATACTGGGTAACCGCTATGATCCACTTCGCGTTTTTCTTCGAGTCTAACGTACCGTCTACTGCCATAACGGAATGCGTATGCACTGTCATTAGGGCAGGTTCCAACGATTTGAAGTTCAAAAAAAAAAAAAAAAATTGAAAAAAAATCCCTCTACCTTAATCGTCTCGAGCGGTGACGTAATTTTGATTAAAAATTATTTCCACCTCCCTGATACTTGGATCTTTCGAAAAACTTCAAAAAAAAATAAATTCAATAGTATTCGAAATTTTCGTATGGAGGAAATACTGTTTTTCACAGATTAACGAGAAATTATTGTTGCGAGGGCAAGAAATAGAGGGAGAGACAGTGGGAAATGGCGAATGGAAAGAAGAAAAGGAAAATACAAAAAAAAACACTACACGCAATCTCTGACCAATGGGGGAGGTAGGTCTGTGTCCAAAGCGGTTGGATCGTTTGTCACGGATTCGTCTGACAAAGGGAAATAGAAAGAGAATGAGAGAGAGAGAGATGGATACACCTTCCATCTCTCTCTTACGCACTCACGAACGACAGAGAGTTTCGCTAAATATGTCTAGGACCTTTGTCTGCTGACTGCGGTAATTTTGCAACAGCCAGTTTCTGCAAGTGGCCTATAGACGTTACGGACATTACCCAGTACATCGTATTTCTGCTGAGTGTCTGTATTGTGGTTGAGTAATTATTAATGGTTCAAAATAGAGCATTCTCAGGCGACAGTCTCATACGACAGCATTTCTAACGTTATACGTACCGTATTGAATACGTAGCATGTATACAACGAGATAACGAAGATATCAAGCGAGACAGCGACTAACCTAAAGACTGCTGATGAAACGTAAAGACGGTCGAATAACGAAGCACAGGAAGGAAGTATAAAAATAATATGTTTTTTTTTAAGGCACAATGCAGATGCAGTCAAACAAGTTGAAAAAATAATGATAACCAGCAGGTACGAAAATCGTGTGCAAAAAGTGACCGATAATGAAGATTTAGTTGATAAAATGAAGTAAAGAGAGGACGAGCGAGAGCGAATCAAAGAAATTATTTATTAATCAACTAGGCAATATGCATGATTCGCCTAACAGCGACAACTGACAAGAGAACTTAGGGCATTAGCACAGAATTCAATATACGTGATATCGAACGGCGAAGCTTTCGAAATTCGTCAAGGCAACCGGCTATGAACTTTTTTTTTTATTAATAAAATACGACGAATACGATTTTTTTGCGGCTCTTCATTCTTTGATTTTGAAATGTTTTTATTTTCTTTTTTTTTCACGTTTTTTTTTTTTGCCGTGCCAACCAAATAACTTTCTTACCCTCAAGAAATGATCTCCTGACAGGGTGTCGGGATTAAATGTCTCCCATGTTCCATTCTCGAGTAACGTATCGACCGAGAGATCGTAATCCCGCGAGCGGTTCCTCATTTTCTGTCGGGAACGAGATGAGATCTTTAGAAATTATCTTTTTTTTTCTTGCTTGTTAATTAATCACTTTTTAATATATTTTTTTTATTGTTCATTTGCATTTTTTCAGCGCGGCCATGGCGAGAGGATCGAGAGAGGCTGATGTAGCTCTTTTGATATTTATTGGAAAAGTTTGAGAAATAAAATTGAGATTTTTACTCAAAATTGCGATTTACGAGTTAATGACATTTTTCAAATTCCAATATCGTCCAATTCACAATCGGGACTTTATCAGGTTCGTTACAACATCCGGAACCTCGCTGTATGCACGGTCTAATTTGGAATGTCAAATTAATGTCGGTCGTTATGTTTAATTAGTAGTAAAACAAGTAATGATCAGCTGGTGGATTAACGAGAACGATTATAGAATAATGACAAAGGTGTACGTGATAGCGAAGTGCCGTGTATGGAATTTATATACATATATAGTCATGTGGTCTATGCAATATTATACATGTGGATTATTATATTGTGCATTGTTAATGAAATGAGAAGTGCCCATTTCTCTTCTTCTAGTGTTTAAGGGAAGAGGGTGCACTCTCTTTATGAACTGCAAGGGTCGTAATGTGCAAGGGTTATTATTTTGTCACGTGCGCGAACTCATTTACTAAGTCTACCCTATACATATATCGAGTTCGAAAACCGAAAGATAAGCAGAGATTTTTTTCCCTTTCAAAAAAGTCCGTTTCCAAATCTATATGATAAAAAGTAAAAAAAAAAAAAACAAATCGTTATCAAATTTTGAAACGACCATTTTTTTTAGTTCATTTCGATCCAATGCTTATTTATGATAAATAATATTTTTAATGCGTAAGGTAGCGTCACGTGGTGAGTAATATAAATTTTTGTTAATAATTTTCATTAAAACAGTTTCCTTTTTTGCAAAATTCGTGAAAACGGCATAAAGCAACGAGACGAGGAATTTTCGTACAAAGTAAAGGAGGTATTGCAAAATTATTCTCACCTGGAGGATCGGCTTGTCCAATGGCGCAGAAGCAGGAATTTGTACAGAGTAGAATTTTTGCTCGAATACCGGAGCGTGATCGTTGATGTCCTCTACCTCCACGACAACCCTGGTAGTCGAGGATAAGGGTGGCCTGCCGTTATCTCTCACCGTGACCTGAAAGCAGAAGCAAAAAAGGTCGCAAATTAAAAATGCTTTTAATACATCTACTCGTGAAATTTAGCCGCAAGGGAATAACTCGTCTCGCGAGAACTTAAATTACACTTATTAACCGGAAAAAGTCCCGAAAAAAAAAGAGAGAATTAAAAGTACCCGGAAAATGCAGTAATTATACATTAAACAATTTCAAAAATTCTTTAATAACCCGTCTTAACCCACGCGTCAAAAATACAATTAACAAACACAAAATTTTTCGCTTTTCACGTAATTCGCGACATGCGATTTAAAAAAAAAATTTTTTTGTTAAGTACCAAAAATTAATTAAAATATTATTTCACATTAAAAAAAATTACAGTATCCCACATGACTAATGGCCGTAGGTAGAGGTACTCGTATCAATGAATAATATAAGTGTATAAATGGCAGAACACTCAAGCAGATAGGTACGTCAATTAATAGCTACGAATCACCCAAAGGACCTCGAGGGAATCTTAAGAGGCGAGTCAATGTGAGTGAGCATCAAGGTGTATCCTCAGAGAAATAATCCTCGAGAACTTAAGAGAGACGCGTGAATTATTAAGGCAATCACGCAAAGACGATTTTCATTGAAATCGAACGCAGAGCCTGTAGCTCATTTGCCCGAACCCGTGGATTGGCGCAGGCAAAGCTTTAGCAATTTCCCGACCAAGGTTTGGTTAGTGCAACAGAGAGGCAAGGTATTCGCGGTCTGAGCTGAAAACCGCGACATAAATTTCGCGTTCCCCAGAGTCGCTACAGATGAGACGTCACATCCGCAGGTAACGCCTGCAGTAAATTAAGTCGAGCGAATTACGTGTTATCCTTGCGCTTCGCGATAGAGCATAAGATAGATATCCATTATAAGTTACGAAGATACGGTCACATATGGATGGCATTAATTCTCGTGGGTAAGTAAGCTTGCGAAATAAAAAAAAATGTCCGATCGACGAACCGGCAAGTAAAATAAATTTTTTCCGACGTTTCGCTAATTGGAATATAAAAAATCGTTATCGGTTCACCAACCTAACCTACTTTGCCTTGGTAATACGTCGAGTAACTTTTTAACGGGTTAATTGGATAACACTATGGTACAACGTTAATTCTTAACACTTGACTCTCGGAGGTCCAAATATGTTGCTTAAGGGTAGTTAACATGGTGGCCGTATGGCTAATTAAGGTACATTATAGGAATGGTATTGTTTCCCTTCTAAGGTACGTTCCTGAATAGGTTAGGTATAACGTGTAATAAAGTGGGAGATTTCGTAAATAGGGCTCGACACCCCTCTTTTGTGCTTCTATACTAAGTCTGGCTACATTAGGGCTCGTTTCCCTTAGGTATAGCACTCCTACCTTTTTCCCTTGTGATTAAGGGTAATGGGAGATGTCTTTCCCTCTTGCGGCTATTCTTTAAACCTTCGACCTCAATAATTCCTCTTGGCGAACTATTCGTATGGCTTACGTTAACTGAGGCATCTGACAACTACGGGGGGTCTCTTATGGCTAAGCATTGAAGGAGGCTGATCGATCGTTTCTATTGTTGCTGGAAATTCAATTTAATACTCGGAAAATTAGTGTTAGACAATTTATTCGATTACTTTGCAATTTCGATTGCATTTGGCAAATTTATAATCATTCGTTTTTTTTTTTTTAATGGTTTTTGGTACCAATCTGCGGGAGATACGTTCTCCGATGAAATATTGGAATTTTATCTAATCAAATGATGACGCTGGTATAAGGCATCGAAAAGGTGGACGGCTTTGTTCGTATTATAGAATGGCTTTCGAAAAATGTTCTCGTCCATCTTAGATTCGCTGTCTTGACTTTTACGGGCATTTTATCGTTACTGATATATATATATATACGAGGAAAGGCAAGTGGATATGTACCTTTATCTTGAAGATTTTCTTGGTATCCATTTCTACGTCGAAATTCGACTGATATTAAATCTCACAGATGAAATCTTGAGAATAGAAAAATTGGAAAGAAAATTTTTCAAAATAAATTCTTGAACGTAACCATTTTTCGTTTTATATTTTTTGCGTTCCTTTAGGTTTTTTTTTTTCAACCCCCATCATTTTCCACCACCTCTGTCCCCTTGACTCTTGCGCTCCCACTAAAACATCCCCTGTACCCGTTCACGTTCGTAAAATCTTTTCGGGACGTTTCGCGAGATACAAATCGCCGATGTTGAAATTTTCTTCTACCTATATAAACGACCTGCAGATTGGAAACCGGAAATTCCGGGATCGCTGTCACGGTTGTTCTATGGTTAAAGGCTTTTCAGTGAACAAAGGACTTCGGGGAATCCCCGAACAGAAGGACGTGAATAGAATGGGAGAAACGAGAGGAGCTTTTGTCTCGCGGGAAATACCTTCTTCATTTAAATGTACAATTTAGTCGATAAACGAAATCCGAATCCTTGTGGGAATTTGGATTAGCGGAAACACTTTGTAATGTTTATTTAATACGCTTTACTGAGCTTTTCGAGGTTTAACCAAGCGTGAACTTTGGGCACCTTGTGTGCTTCGGTTCGTGAATTCATCCACTTTGGTAGATACGTAGGTAACTAGGTACTATCCTACTATACCGACCGAGATAGATAAATAGAGCGTAAAAGGGATTTTGTTATTTCATGGAAATGCCTAATATTTTTTTTTTCTTTTTCATTGACAATCATATGCACGTTGGAGTGGGTAGATTTTTTTATGGAAACTTTTCGAAAAAGCTTCGATCTGATTTGTTAGAATTTTTTCCACTAACTGGAATTACCTACAGGGGTGGAAAGACTGAAAGGACCAAGGTACCAGTTTTAACCCTCAGGACGAAAAATTGGAAAACGCTTATGGTATGTTCATACATTGAACGCGGTTAAGAGGTTAGATAAACGTTATCCTTTTGAACGAATGAGACTTTCGATCTACGAATAAGGTTATCCTGGTTGTAGATGTTAGTGGGGTAATATCGAGGGACGAAATCCACGTGTTCCTTTCTGTTCCTTTTGCATGAGATTTTCGATCGGACTGTATTACCATTTGTAAGGGGGATGAAATTGTAAGATTTTTTTGGAAATTCAAATCTTCTAGAATTCGATAAAAAATATTTTCGATATACGTATACACTTATATATATATATACACACACACAATATTGAAGCGATTAAAAAAATCACTGTCACATCAAAGTTTGGAAAATAATTAAAAAATAGCAAAATAATTTTTTTTTAATACATCAATTTTTTTATCTACTGTCTCGAGCATCTACTTCACTTTATTTTTCATAAACGCGATCGGTCCACGTTCAACGTAGAAGACGCTGACGAAGCTCGATATTTTCCGGGTTGAGAAGCAAAAATTGCCGAGCATTAAGTGCAAGCGGTGCATAGAAAATTCTTCATAGCGATATATAACCACGTATAAGTATATCGCATTATTCAGGGTGTCTCATTAATACAAGGGCCTACAACGAAGAAATATGTAGACTGTATGAAAATAAGCTGAAAAATTATACCAATTAATAGAAGTACCACGACAGAAACGTCTTGATCAACGTTAGTTGGTAGTACCTGAATTCCAAAAAAAAAAAATCTGCATTATCGATGCTATAAAAAGAAAATTTTTTTATTTATACAAAAAAAAAATCACCCGTCTGATCACGTACGTGCCTTATCTACTTAGCTTTCACTTTGGACCACTCTCTCTCCTCTCATAACCCTTATCGATTATGAATTCAAATGAACTTCCTCTGAAGTGGCAACCATCTTCAAAGCTTTTACGAGCATCTGAAGTGACCTTTTTTTTTACAATGTAAGCAATTTTCAAGATTTGTGCTTGAATTCAAGTACCACGGGATACCCGGTATAGTGCCACGGTAAGACAGGTTATTCCCCTTGTTCAGCCTCGTCTTTTTTTTTCTCTTTACAATAAGCAAATGTCAAAGGTCGATAATTATTAAATAATTAATAAAAATTTCACGGTAATAATTTCGACACGTATTTCTACGCTTTTTACAATAATAATTTGACTTTCACGAAAAGCACGAGAGTATTGACACGCGTGACGTCATACGTGGGTTACCCATGCGGGGTTGCTAGAAAATAGTGAGCCTTAAAAATTATTTGTTTTGTCGAGGCAGCCGACGATAAAAAACATTTTATTAGTCAATTAGCCGCGCGTCGTGTGTGTCTCATTTGGAATTCATATGTGAAACGATGCCTCGTCGTCACGGATAGGCGTTACGATTACGTTCATTAGGGTTAAGGATAATTGAGAAATACATATGTGAAGTGAGTGAGACTGAAAGTCAGGTAAAAAGATTTTTTTTTAAATAAAATTCCATGCATATAATTGACTGTCATTTTTTTCTATTTTCCCTTTTTTTTTTTCATTTCCGGGTATATCACGTATGTTATCCCAACGCTCAGAGAGCCGCGATTCTTTTAAATATGTATTCGAAACCAAATCGATAGGATTTACGACGCGTAAAAAGACACCTGGCGTAGCGCAGATACGTGAAAGCCCGTGTGTGGCAAAGAGTTTCGTAGGCGTCGAAGACTTTCGGGTTATAAATTATCGTAGGAACTCCGAGAAAAAGTCGTTCAACGTGTAATTCGACACGCATGAGAAAACAGCCGGGATGGCCTCGAGGTAGCCGGAAATTGTGGCCACAAGTATATTGAGATCCGTGAGGACATCAATAACTATCTTTAGTAGGCCCACTAACGAGGTAACGATAAAAGATTTGATATAGGGCCCAAAGTAAAAAAAAAAGTGGGCCTGACGTCATACCCCAACAGACGTATCGAAGCATCGAAAATTAAATGGATAAAATCCAATAAATGTTCACAAAATTCACAAAATCTTTGCCCTATGACGATATGCGAATTTATATAGGGGAAGGTGCAAAAAATTCAATCGTCTTACGTATAGATACAACAAGCATATATAAATGTAAGTACGTTTACGCGTGGCTGGTTTTCATCT